ATAGATAGATACATAGATAGATACATAGATAGATACATAGATAGATACATAGATAGATACATAGATAGATACATAGATAGATACATAGATAGAAGACTTGGCTTTGGTGTATATATTGATGGAAGTAATGTATGCTATGGAGACAACATCTTGAATCCACTTGGTTTGGGCTATGCTATGCACGCACTCTTTTCTAATATTGCACTCAGCCACTTACCTGCAACCCTTACCTGCAAACTACCTACACACACACACATACACACACACACACACACACACACACACACCAGAACAATGCACCTAGCAACCTGTTAGCAATCTAGAATACCCACTTGCATTGAGCTGCAGCCCTCCACTGGGAACAGGGGAATAACTTTCTCCCCCATTTATCAACCATCAAAGTTAAATTCTAGTTAATTATACACTAGTCAGACCAGTTGCGGGGGGCAATCTGGCTTGAGCTAGTTTTGGGTACATTCACAATAAGGCCAACTGTGCCCTCTGACGAACTGTGCGGGAGAACCTTTGAGTTACTACCTCACGCCCGTGCATCATCAACAGTGCAGATGATGCAAATCAGATGCAACATGACAAGGGTGTGTGCAGTGAGCAACAGCTTGCATAATCCAACCTGTCAATGAAAACAGAAAGCCACCCAAACTACATCCCTGAGAAACCAGCTCCTCCGTTCTCTTCTGGTCTCCACGGGGACCACACACACACACACACACACACACACACACACACACACACACACGACAAACATACACATAAGCAGGCGACGTTCATACAATAAAAATGATTTTTAAAAAGGAAAAGAAGTCAGCTCCTCCTTCCTTCCCACCACATGAAGGAGCCTTGGGTAACATGGGGCTCGGACGCCTTCACTCAAGTGGTCCACTTCCACTCTCAGCAGCATGCTCCTGACGAATTTGTATGGTTGCTTTGCTTTGAAGAAAGTTCTCCTGGGGCTGGGGAGATGGATCATCACAAGCCTCTGTGACTCCAGCTCCAGGGGATCTGATGCCTCTGGTCTTCACTGACATCTGTACTCACATACACACATGCATTCCAATACACCTACACATAATTTAAAAATAGTTTTAAAAATCCTCGTAGAAAAATAAAGCTTCCTTGCTACTTTGCAATCATTTCTTTTCATCAAATTCCAATGCTGCGGGCCGCAGGAATATCATAGAAACTCAGCTGGTTATGGCAAAGTCACTACCTGGAGGAATCAGGGAATTCCTCCAGAGGAAGCCAAATCCCAAGGAGTTTTTGGTGTTACTTGGCTTGTTATATATCAGCTGTATTCTGTTATGAAAATCATGTGTGCCTTCATAGTTTTCCCAATTGACTTTTCCCTAAGAAGGGCTAACAGTGTGGATTGATCACTCTCTGGACATACACATTCCAGGTATTTGGAGAATAGCCTCAGGAAAGGCTTTCTCTGGAATCAGATATCTCCCCTAGCCACTTTCAAGGACTAAAGGAGACATCGCCCAGGTGGTCACCCAATTTCCGAGGATTAAGTGATAACAACCCATAGGCGAGTCTCCTGACTTAAGGTAAATTCCACAAGGGGACACCGCCTAGGTCAGGTAGACATTAAATAATAGCTTTACACAATTTAGCTCAGACCCCTCCTTTCTTACAGCCTTACAAACTTTATAGACCTCTAACTACTTACCTAACCACTTCTGGGAATATTTAGATAACCTTCTGTGCTAACAGCTATGCTCAGCCAGAACTCCCAGTTCAAGCCTCCCTGTAATTATCATTATTGGTAGCATCTGGTCAGGTCCATCACTGGATGGAAGAAAGTACCTTATCAGAGATACCTCTGTACTCTCTAGAACAGACTTAAGCATCCAGGCTACCTGTTTGAGAAGGCCTGGCGGATGTGCCAATTAAGCCTTACTTCCTCTTTTCCCAAACCTTACCGCCAGTTCCAGATCTCCCTTTAACTATCACCAGAGGCATCTAGCTGTACACAGGTTGCCTAGCAACTGAGCACACTTTCCCCCACCCTGCAGAAAAACAGCAGATAGCTTGGACAGATAGGAGCTACAGGAAAAAAGAAGACAGTTTTATTTTCTCCCATTGACCTAGCAACTTATAGATTCTTAACACTTTCTACCAACCACATTTAAGATTATAGTTGAGCACATGAGATTCCCTCTTCTTAGATATTACCTGAATTTAGCCTTTAATTCATTTCCCCCATTGGTCACTTCCCTTTGGGGTTGCAAGTGATAATTAACGGTTATTGCCTCCCTGTGTGATTCTTATCACCCCTCCATTTGACCCTGGAAGCCTGGCTTTGCACTGCTAAGGGAATACTGCTTGTAAGTGTATATATACCAGGACTCCCAGGGCACAAGAGGACAGAGAGGAGAGAAGAGAATGGAAGAACTAGATGGGTAAGAACTTGAGAGGAACAAACTGAGATGGGGAAGAAGTAGATTGAAGGGCTACAGCAGAGTACTAGAGGAACGAGATGGAAGATGAGGAAGAGCCAGATGAGAGAGAAGGAGACGGGAGAGGAGATGATATGGGAAGGAACAAGATGGATGAGAACCTAGAAGGGACAGAACTATATGAAGGAATTAAGATAGAACATAGAGGGGATCGCAGACAAATGTAGAGAGAAATCAGGCTAAAGATGACCTAAATATGAGAGCAGAATATAAGCTTGTAAATGTCACAGAATAATAAAGTATATGGACTAAGGAGTTTCATGTACATAGATTCATTTCATCCCATTAAAGATTAATTATCAGCTGGTTGTAGATTCTTCCCGGACCCTGGGAGGGGACTATCGAGGGGCTGGACCCCCATAGTCACCGATATTCCAAGACACTGGAAACAGCCAGGCCAGACCTGTGCCACAGGTAATACTATCTCCAGAGTCAGCGCCAACTGGATCCATCTTGGCCATCAGAGCAGGAGAATCTTGACTAGGCTAAGTTCAGAATGTTTCCACCTCCCAGCTGCTGCCCAGAGCCCAGTCCTCCATCAGACTCGGTTCCCTCCCAGCTCTCCTCAGGCTGCGCTCACAGTTAGACAAGATCCTACCACGGCATGCCCCCTACAAGAAGACACTTTGCCAATCCCACTGTTTAAGTCTGTCCCAGAGCCTTCATACCTCCAGGGTGTGAAATCCTTCACACAATTGTATGTGTGAAGAAAAGCCAGGGTGTATAAAATTGCACTTGCACGCTGCTCTGTGTCACCCAGTCATTGTGACTACACTTTGACTTTCCCAGGAACCACAACTAGTTTTTATTTGCTTTTATAAAGCTGTTCAAAGAAAATTATTAATGACAAGCCTCAAATCTATACTAAAATGTCCACCAGTATCCTTATACTAAGACTGGAGGAGCTGATTCTGTCAAACACCTTACCTTGGCTTCAGTTCATTGGGAACATTGTAATTGTTTGTTTGTGCATGCGTACATGTGTGCGTGCATGCGTGTGTGCATGCGTGCGTGCGTGCGTATGTGTGTGTGTGTGTGTGTGTGTGTGTGTGTGTGTGTAAGAGTATGCAAGTGAACCAATGCACACATGTCCACTTTATTAGTTTTGAATGGGTTCTCTTACTGATTCTGCAGCTTGTCAGTTTAGGGACAGGGTGGAGGCCAGCGAGCCTCAGTCCTGTCTTCATGCCCCTAGCGCTGGGGTTCCAGGCACACGGACATTTTCACACGGGTGGTGCGAATGCGAACTCAAGTCCCCTCACTTTAGGCACTGGGCCACCTCCCCAGCTTAAACCTGCTTTTCTCACTTAGTTCTTCCTACTTCCTCTTACAAACTGGTATTTTTATTGACCTACCAAACAGAAATTCTTGGTAGGGAATGTTTTCTCAATCATTCAAAACCCACGCATTCCCGAGAGTCCTACTTTCAGTGGGAAGAGGGCACTGTCAATGTCTCCCGTTTGCTTGGCCCTTGGGCTCCACCCTTTCCACAGAGTACACATCACTAATGCAAACGCATTATATCTTCACATCTGGCCTGCTGCATTGCGCAGACTCCCGACCCTCTTCTGGGACACTCAGCACCCTACTAAACATGGATAAGGGTCTTCCTCCAGGGTGACCCAGCCAAGTGGGATCCAGCATGGACAGCCCTCCCTTACGCCACTGAGATCAAAGCCTGCTTCCGCATCCTTGACTCCTTCAAGTCTACCAAGCAGCGCTTGAGTCCCTTCGGCCACAACAGTTCGGGAGAAGCATTGGATGAAGGCTGAGGTCTCACAGGACACTCGGCAGCAAACCAGGAAGACACACTGTGTTTGTTTCTGCCCTAGCTGTCAAGCCACCAACGGCTCTGGACTGGGCTTCCGGGGGCTATGCTTTCTTCTCCACTATGACTGATTGGTTTAAGAAACACCAAGAGAGCAAATACCCCCAGGAAAATGACCTTTCTGCAGATTCTGCTGAATAGTTATTAGTGCTCAGGACTAAAGCTAGGTTGGGGATCTGCATTCTAGTCCTTCCCTGAAGGGTGTGCCTGCTTACTGAGCTCATCTGACCCAGTTAACGGTAATGGAAAGAGCAGCCACCAGCTGGCGTGTTGGGTGGGGCTGAGTGTGCTCCCACCCTGTCCTCCCTACACAGTCAGCAAGCCCCCCTTCCTAGCTGCTAAAAAATAAAGGGGCGGGGGCGGGGGGGGGAGTTCAAGCGGATGGATGGCAGGTAGAATGGCCAGGTCTCTTAGAGAGGGGACAGCCGCCAGGTAGAAGATTTTCAGGGACAGAAGCTGCAGGCTAGGGCGCACAACGTGGCCACCACCCACCTCTTGATGTAGCTGCTGAGGCGGTAGAGCTGCCCGTCGAAGCTCACTAGGCCGTCCCCGAAGACGTTGAAGCCCCCTCGCGCGTCCGCGGCGGGTTCCCCGGGCCCGGGCACCAGGAGCTGCTCACCACGCAGCTGGAAGGCCCCAGGCTGCAGGCGGAGCAGCTGCGACAGGGGCAGCAGGGCCAGCTCGCAGTCGCACGTCCACAGGCTGCGGAGCTCCCCGGATGATATGGAGGTCAGGCTGGGTCTGGCCACAGGTTCGCACGCCGCGGTGGCCATACCCAGGCTGTGGCTCGGTCCCCTTCCTACCCCGAGGGTCGCCAAGTGGGAGGATTAAGCCTGTCTGTCCTGCCGACTACTGCACACAGCAGTCTCTCGGGAGCCCTCCTGTCGCCCTCAAGGCTGCTCACCCTCGAGGAGTGCTGCAGGCAAGGCACGGAGAAAGCGGTCCCCGCGCTGGGCAGCCCCTTTTATCAGGCACCGGGCACGCCCCTCCAGCCCCCAGGCAGGACCCCAGATGCTCCTCTCCAGCAGAGCAATCAGCGTTTCATAACTTGGCGCACTCCCACCTCGCCTGCTCACAGCCAAGACGAACTTAGTCATCCCACTGGGGTCAGACGCTCAGCCCCCGCGTGGGGCCCTCCCTGCCTGGTGCGCACTGCCGGGCGCAGCATCTTCCCCCACGACAGATGCCCGGGCCTGGCGCAGTGCCCATCCATCCCTCAGGTGCCACTGCTCCCAGAGGATTACACAGGCTTACTGACCACCTCTCCATCTGGGGCCCAGGGGCTTTCGGAGCTCAGGCTGGGAGCTCCACCGGCATCTACATCCCCCACCCCATGCCCAGTCTCAAGTCTCCAGCTCCCTCCACCTCCACCGAGATGATCTGGCTTTTCCTTCTCTCAGCCCTTCCTGGAGCGGGGTCCCACCCACCCAGCATCCTTCTCTGAGCAGCCGGCCACTTTCCCACAAGGCTTTTCTGCATCCCCTGTGCACCCCATTTCTCGGCCCTCTTGTTCCTGAGGCTCCCGGGGACCCTTGGTAGCTATGTGCTTGGATCCAAGTCAGAAGACCCTAGCAGGCCTCCCCTGTGGGCTGAGCTCCCCAATACCAGAATCTGATCATCAGTTTATAGATACTTGGGTGCTCTCGCTATGTGCTCACACGTTTCTTGAGGGACGCAAGGACTATTATCCCTTGAAATTAATTAAATGAAGACAGGCAAATAACCCCAACCCCTGCCGCCATCAACTTGTAGTCTAACAGAGGAGCAAGCAAGTTTTCCAACAGTTACACTGACCGAGTGAAGGCCTTCTCTAGATAAACCCTGCATGAGCGAGCAGGAGACTCCAGGCAGCGCTGAGTCCCCAAGGTAGGACTTGAAGTGGAATCCAGAGACTATTCAATTTGTCTCTGAGTGCCTCCGTGGTGCCTGGGTTTAGTTGAATCCAACAAAAACTGCTTTGCTATATAGTTTATTTATTCTTTATTTTTTTGAAGATTTTATTTTTATTTTTGCGTATGAATTTTGCCTGCATATATGTATGTACACATGACTACATACATGCAGAGTCCAGAAGAACACATCAGTCAGGTCCCCTGGAACTGGAGTTACAGGTGCCATGTGGGTGCTGGGAACTGAACCCGGGTCTGCAAGAATAGTGAGCACTCGTAACCACTGATCCATCTCTCCAGCCCCTGGTGTCATTGAATTTCTATTCCTTCCTTGTTTAACAGTAAATGCATGCTGCGTTTCGAATGACTTTGACTTTGCAAACTGTATTGCAAACCCCTATGCCATTTTCCATCAAGGGAATGTACTCTTGTTTGTCTGGACTTTTCTTTCCTGAAACACTAAAATCACTTCGTTTTTCCCTTACTACAAACAATAACACATCTTTCCACTTTGATCTTTTTTGGCACTCTACCTTTCAGAAACGGAATTATTGGGATAAGTGAGAGGAGACAATGCAAGGCTCTGGATACATGTACGTTCAATTCTGTTTTCTGTTTCTATGATAAAACACTGACCAAAACCAGTATGGGGAGGAAAGGGTTTCTTTGGCTTACAAATTATAGTCCAGTCCATTATCAAGGGAAGACAAAACCTGAGGCAGGAACTGAAGCAGAGACCATGGAGAAACACTACTTACTGGCCTTCTCCTAGACTTTCTTATACAGCCCAGGCTCACCTGCCTAGGAAATAGTGTCACCCATGGTGGGTTGGGCCCTCCTACACCAATTAAGAACCAAGAAAATGCCCTCACGGATGTACCCACAAGCCAATCTGATGGAGGCAATTCCTCAGCTGAGGTACCCTGTAGTGGGTAGCTGTTCCAGCTTTGATCTGGAAGTTCCAACCCCCATTGAGGCTTCGGTAACCATCATGCCTACAAGGCAGAGCCGAGACAGGAGCCCTTAAGACCCGAGATCCAGATGCGCCAGCTCTCTTGGTTCCTGGATCCTGGATGCTGGAGGTAGACCAAGCGGAGTTCTCCAGAGAACACCGCCAGACTGCGCCACACCTTTCCCAGATGCTGTAGCCCATCCCTTTACTTGTAAGTTACCCCGCAAAATAAACCTCCCCTTTAACTACGTGGAGTTGCATTAATACTACACCAATCGTACCCTCTTTCCAGGTATGTCTGGGTTTATGTCAAGTTGACAAAAATTAACTATGACAGGATGTCACTGTTTTCCAAAGGAACGCTACCTTTTATTTTCCTTTCTCTCATCAGCGGTGAATTCTTATGGTTTGAGTCTTTGATACTGGGGAAGCATACCCCATAACTATATGTTTGCATTTGAACTGTTTAGATTACAATTAGGTTCACAATACAGCATTGGTGTTACATTGAAAACCCTGCTTATAGAAGAGTAGACACGTGTGTGTGCACACACATGCATGCACACACACATGCACACAGTTAGGCTTGTAGTTAAGAGGAGACAGTCTGCAGATCTTGCCGTCCTCATGTGCCCCATGTACTGGGGTGATAGTTACATCACCAAATCACGGGGGAAGCCTTCGGCTTCAGAGCTTTAAATGGTCCTGTTCAGCGACTGTCATGGTCATCTTTGACTGTCAACTTCACACAGCGTCCAATCACCTAGAGCAAGTCTTGATGGATTATCTAACATCAGGTTGGCCCGTGGGTGTGTCTGTTGGGGATTGTTTGCTCGTCTTAATCAATGTGGGAAACCCCACCCCAAACAGGGGCAGTGCTTCTGATAGCCACCTAGATGAAAGGACGTGGAAGAAAGAAGGCTTTGACTTTTTTCCTTGCTTAGCTTTCACTCTTGCTGGTCAATGCATCTACACTAAGCTGCTTTGTTAGAAGTTAATGTCTGGCTTGGGAAACCTGTTAACTGTGTCCACTGGAATAAGTTTCTTAAACCCTTTGGACTTTAGATGTTCTCACCCCTAAAATCTGGTGCAATTTGAGACTAGGGAGAGGCAGGGCAGGAATACAGTCAAGGACTCCAGCTTTGGTGCCCCCTTACATGGGTTCAAGGTCCACGTTAGCTCCCTGGATCCTGAGCACACCCACATCAACCCTGTGTGTTCCAGTTGCTTCACATGTCAACTGTGGGGGTTGGAGGCAAAGCACTCTAAGCAGATCCTGGCCCACAGCAAACACCACGTGTGTGTGTGTGTGTGTGTGTGTGTGTGTGTGTGATGCCCACATCAGGGGATTTCCGTGAGTTCAATGGCTGACAGCGCACACACTGCCCCCGGAAGTCATCACAAGACAATGCTGCCTCCCATCTCCTCCTCGTTGTTTTCTCTCATCTCAGACCCTTCGTTTTTTCCTGAGTCTCAGGGCTCTGTCCCTGGCAGCCCCTTCTTCCGTGGATGCCGCTGCTCAGCCCTTTGGCTCTAGTGGCTCCCTAAAGCTGATGATCCCTTATATCTAGGGACAGTCCGGCCTCTCCACATGGCTTTCCCCTGGTGACCCCAGGGAATCTTTGTCCTCCTGCCGAATGTGCCCATTCTCTTGTGCCTAGCATCCTATGAGGCATGTCCACACCTCTCCTCAGAATGCTGAAGGCATCCAAGACCTTGCCCTTTGACCCCCCCCACACTCTGGCCCTCCTCCGCTGCCTCCCCACCCCAGTCCTCCGGGCCATTGGCTGCCTCTGCCTGCTGAATCCGACACTTACAAATTTCAGGCATTTTCTTGCTTCCTTCTCAGCCCCTTTCTCTTCAACTTTTCCCTGGACGTGGCTTCCCAGTGACAGTCCATCAGGACAGAGAAGGAAGTTACAGTCCACCCAGAAGAGCAGGAGCTTGAAGCGGCTGTCGATGGTCTTGAACCCAAAACTCTGAACTAACCAAACCTTTTCTCCCGTAAGTTGCTCTCAGCAGAGTATTTTTTTTAATCACAGCAACAGGCAAGAAACTGTGACAACTGGTGTCCTTAAAAGAAGAGACTCAGGGAGTTGGGGGCAGCCAAGGAGAAGAAGCAGCTTAGTTGGACCCGGTAAGGGCGTTCCCAGCCAGGAAGACACCAGAAACGGAGCTCGTCCCTTGTTCTTGCCATCTAGCCTCACACATCAAGAAATTAAACTTGTTGATTCTTAAAGGTTTTAGTTAGGTTTTTAAAGATTTATTTTAAAGATATTTTATGTTTGTATTTATTTTATGTTTGTATTTCACCTGCCTGTATGTGTGTGCACCACATGCATGCCAAATGCCCTTGGAAGTCAGAAGAGGGCATCAGATCCCCTGGAACGAGTTACAGACAGTTGTGAGCCACCATGTGGGTGCTGGGAACTGACCCTGAGTCCTCTGCAAGAGCAGCCAGTGCTCTTAAGTGCTGAGCCATCTTTTCAGCCCTTAATTATTATTTTTAACTATGTGTATGTGGTAGGGAGAATGAGTGTGGATTTGTACCCGCAAATGCAGGGCTGACAGGCAGAAGAGGGTGTCAATTCCTCTGCAACTGGAGTTACAGGTGGTTGTGAGCCAGATGTGGGTGCTGGGAACTCCGTTCTGGTCCCCTGCAGGAGCAGCACATGCTCTTAACCTGCAGTCCATCTCTCCAGCTTTTCAATGTGCGCTTCTTAAGCTGTCCAATCTCCAATGCTTCGTGACAGCGAAACCCAACCCGACTCCTGACTCTCACGTACGTGTCACTGGCTTAAGAACCGTAAAGTGTGGCTTGCCACCCCTTGGAAGGTGGAGCTGCCATTCCCACCGTGGGCTTCCTGACGTGTGGCTCGTGGCTCCTGATGTGAGGTCTCTGCTCTCATTTCAATACAACAGACACCCTATACTTGACGTTAAGTTCGATGACCCCTCCTCCTCCTAGGGGCAAAGACCTCTGTGGTGCTCTCCTGTATCTCACCGCGTTCTAGCAACGCTGCCATTCATGTGTGCCTCTGCATCTCTCACTGGGAAAAGAACAGCTCCATCCTATGCCTTTTTATTCCAGGCACATTGTGGCTTCATAAAGATATCCAATTTATTTTCACTGAATGAATGAATAAATAAATGATAAACAGCGCTGTGTCATGGTTATGCATAACATTCTAAAAACAGTGCCTGGCATAAATAAGTACTATTGAATGTTTGTTAAATAAATGAACAAAACACACTGAGCATGCTTCAGATCATTTTTTCCCTATGGTTAAAACTGTCAAAGTCGTGTGAGAGCCAAAGCAGGAACATATGGAGCAGTGAAAGCCCAGATTTGCAAAGATGTTTTATGCAAAGAAGTTCACATTCATAGTTACTGTACTGACTCCTGGCAGCTTTAGTCATGACTGAACCAGAATGGAAAATTCTTCTTCCTCCCCTCCACGCTTACCTCACTGGGCTCTGGCTGTGGTGTTCACTGGGCTCACTGCTTCTGCTGGCCCAAATAAACACTGTCCTGGGGTCCACACGCATGCCTACCAGGCCAGTGGGATGATCCCGGCAAGGTTTACTCCTTGCCTCTTGAATTACATCTTCTTCTTCGCTGGCGGGGACACTCCGTGCTCTGGGGCACTGAGGCCAGCGTGGGTCAGGGAACTGTTGCAGCTGTGAGATTCGGCAAGCAGGCCAGAGGACGTGCAAATGGCCCCCGGGAAGACTGGCTTGGCCCGTGAGAACCAAGTGTGGCTCTGGGACATGGTTCACATCTACAGCACACTTACACGGGATAGGACTGGCTGCTTTGGACCGTCCAAGGTGGTCTTCTTGCCTGGCCCCTGGGCTGCGCAGAGCAGAGGAACGGTGACCCCTCCCCTGAAGTGCCAGCTGGAGGAAGTGCACCTCTGTGATGCTGCTTTTATGTATTAGAAGCCTAGTCCCGGGCCATTAAAGGAGGATCGGTTCTGGCTTGCAGTTCAAGGGGATCAGTCCTAGCCGGGATAGATAGCATCAGGTGGCGGGCCGGGACGGAGGCCAGCTGGTCACTTCACATCAGCAGGCAGGAATCAGAGAGTGAACCTATAGTGAGCCAGGGCTAGCAAGCCTCACAGCTGGTCCCCAGGGACCCACTTCCTCCAGCGAGCTCCGCCTCCCAAAGGTACCGCAACCTTTCCTAACAGTGCCACCAGCTGAGGACGAAGCTTTCAAAACACGTGAGCCCCTGGGGGACATTTCCCACCCACACAGCACCCTGAAGCCACCCATGCTAAGTTATTCATCTTGCCTTGTCTTACCTCCCTCGAGAAACCCCAGTAAAAGCACTGGCCTCAACCTTCCCTTCACCCCTGCCTGCTGGACACACGCTGTCCTTCTAAGCACGGTCCTGCGTGGCCCGCGGTGCCTCTTCGGCCTCGGACTTGTGATGTCACGACTCTCTACTTGCCCCAGCGAGGGCACACCTCTCCACCTCTCCACACAGCGCCACCAGCTGAGGAGCAAGCGTGCCAATGGCCAAGTCTGGGGGACCATTCCCCACTGAAACCACTCAGGCCTCTACGTGGTACGGCGTGCCTCTGTTGGCGCAGCCATCTCTTCCGGCTTCTTTGAAGATACTCTCACCAAGTGGCCAATCGCTTAGAGGCCCATTCCACAGCGCCTCTCAGAGAGGAGGAAACAAACTACTTCTGGATGGGAATTCTCCTTTCCTTCACCCACCGGGGATCTGTGCAAGTGAAGCTGGATTTGGCTTCCTAGTTATCCATATGCAGTCTGTTGTTTTCAAGCAGACGGTCACTTATTTTGTGGATTTCCAAAGGTCTTCCTCTCTTCCCATCTCTGGGACACAGTCTATTTTTCCTTATTCTGGTGTTCTCCTTCCCTGGGTCACACAGATGACATTTCTAGCTCACCGTTTTATGTAGGAGGCTCTGGAAATATTTTTCATCATGACCACTGCCCTGGCAATGTCGATTGCAAGGTCCTTCTCCATCCACCAAGTTATAATAATAAACTTTCTTCTTCTTCCAGCCCATTTACAATTTCATGGTTATACTTTAAAGTGAAATTTATTTCAATTATTTTCCCCCTTAAATCTAATCTGTCTTTTATTCTCTAGACTCAGTGACTCTGTAAGCTGATCATGATCTAAGTTGGTAATGGAGATATAAAACAAAATCTGTCAGTCTCTTTGCCCTTCCGTGATCTTATCTAAAACATGAAAACTTACAATGTTCTCTGGGAGCTGGAGAGACCGCTCAGCAGTTAGAGCACTGGCTGCTCTTGCAGAGCCCAGATTCAATTATCAGCATCCACGTGGTGGTTCACAACCATCAGTAACTCCAGATCCAGCGGATCCAACGCCCTCTACTGGCCTCTGTGTGCAATGCACACATGCTGCCCATACACACATGCAGGCAAACACACATAAAATAAATAAATCTTTAAAATAAATGTCCTCTGTTAAAAAAGAAAATACTGTGGGTAGACAGGTCTTGAAAAGCATCTGCTATGGTAATGTACACAATTGTGAGAAAATCTGTCTTTGGGGTATGAAGAGTGAGACTCGAGGGGTAAGATCAGGGTGTTTCTCCTGAAGGTTTGAGAGGAAGTGAGAATGTCCATCAGGAAGCCTCCCTCACTCTGTGGTGCTGATAAGCTCTTTAAAGCTCCTAAATCAAATACAGGGAATAGCTGGGATCATACGGCACAAACACATACTTTCAGGGATACTTTATACTGCCGGCCTACCACAAAACGGACTTTTTATACCATTAAAAATAAAACCAAATGTTTATAACTTTAAAAACAGTTACTAATAGTTAGATATTTCAGCAGGAAACCTTATATTTTCTAGGTTGTTTTGATTCCGTGGAAGTCGATTGCCCAGTTTGTTGTTTTAACACAATAACTCTGCTTCCGTTGCACATTATCTGTGAACTTTTTAAAAAAGATTTTATTTATTTATTTATTTATTTATTTATTTATTTACTTACTTACTTACTTATTATGTATACAGTGTTTGATCTGCATGCATCCCTGCAGGCCAGAAGAGGGCACCAGATCTCATTACAGATGGTTGTGAGCCACCATGTGTTTGCTGGGAATTGAACTCAGGACCTCTGGAAGAGCAGCCAGTGCTCTTAGCCTCTGAGCCATCTCTCCAGCCCTATCTGTGAACTTTTATCCTGTTAGTTTCTTTAATCAAAAAAGTGCAGATGGGGCCGGAGAGGCCCGGCACCAAAGAACACTTATTCATCTTACCTCTGTAAGTTCTGGGTCTGCTTCTAAGCACCGCCATGGCAGCTCACAGCCACCCACGATCCAGTTCCAGAGGAATCCAGTGCCCTCTGCTGGCCTCTGCATCCATGTAGCACACATACATAGTTACAGACAAACAAACAATAAAATGAAAAATAATAATTTTTTTTAAAGGGAAAAGGACAGAAATAAAGATCCCAAGTGCTAGGCTCCACCTAGATGTTCTTGGCCCTGCTTAGACACATGAGGCTTTACCAGGGTGGGGGTCGGGGGTTACTGAGAGCTGATCGACTCCCACCATCCTGCCTCTGCTTTGCTCCTGAACGTCGATGGCTCAGTCCACTGATGAGTGACAAGACTCATGTTCCAGGATGACAGAAATCATCCAAGGGCAAGCATCACAAGCTTATGAGTGAAGAGTTAAGAAATTGTTTTTAAAATGTCTGAACATTGGCCAAGAACTTGCTGAATAATTCACAGTCATCATCTCGTTCAAAGTTTGTCCAAGGGCCTGAGGGACATCAGCAGAGGCCTGAGCCATTAGGAAACAGTGTCCAAGGATGTGAGCTCAGCCTCCCCTGTTTTCTCAGAGGAAAGCTGGTAAGTCTCAGTGAGAGACAGAGAGGCGGGCTCCATCCTTCCATGCACCTGTGGTCACAGTAGGATTTTTTGATTCTCTAGAACGCACCGTGTGTCCCTCATCCTCCTCTTTCTCTCTGTACTGCTGATGCTCCAGAAGACACATTTTAATATATTTTAGCTACAGCAGGAAATAAGTGTGACAGCGCCTTTTTAATGAGCCCAAGTTTGTCCTACTTACGTAAAAAGAAGAAAATAAATAATACTTTCCACTTCCTATGAGCTTGGCCCCATTCGGGTCAATAGGATCAGCTTTCCAATGGGGAGATGAAGTAATTTGCCTGAACGGTCAGCAGTCAGGGTTAAAGCTCTGTTTGGTCTCACTCTGAAGTTCTTGCCTTTTCCATTCTCAGGGATGGCACTGCCAAGCTTAATCTCCAAAACATACCCAATGTACTCCCCTCTCTGCTTCTATGCAGGTCAGAGCTAACGGAAAGAAAACATCAGTGGGTTGCTGGCTTGTTTTTTAAATCTTAAAATAATTTCCAAGTCCCTGCTGGATAGAGGGCAAGTTTCTTGGCCGGGTCTTTGCTCGCTTGTGCACCCCATGTCTAGGGAAGCTCTTCGGACTCCTCCCTGGCTGCTTGGTCTCCAGTTCTTCTCACCTGATGTCTCCCTGCCACTTTTCCAGACTCAACAGTCGGACATCAAATCGGCATGTTGCCTTCATCTGAGAAGTATGAACTTTTGATATACTATAACAGATACCGAGAGAGTAAAATTCCGCTTTTAACGGTTCCCGTTTATAGAAAAGGTTGGGCCGTCCTAACACGCTGCTAGAGACTCTGACTTCAATATGCAGTCTGTGCTGAGCACACACAACATGAAACAAGCATAGGCTCTCTACCCCGAAGGGGAGCCAGGCAGAAACTGTAGACACACGAGACAGAAAAGGAATTTTGAAACCCAGGGATCCTCCCTAGCAAGTCACGACAAGATTTTTAAATATAAATAATCCTTTCACTTTAAAAGAAGCACAAGGACATTGAAGATATTGACAATTCTCCTCTTTTACAGTCCACATCCTGGCCTAAAGAGCACTGGGTTTTCGGCACTTGGACTCATACCTAGCCCACAGCAGACATTTGGTAAATATTTGCTGGGGGGAAAATGAGTGAATACTTGTCATAGTCTATTTCCTGCTGCAGCGACACCCTACCACAGGATGGGTAAGCATTAAAGAGAAGAGTTCCTTTTAGCTCCTGGTTCTAGTACAAAAGGGAGGGGCCTTACCTGACAGTACTGTCGGCAGGGTCTCAGGGTGACATGGGGTACCAACACGGCTTTTATTGCAGTGCCCTCAGGATGCCCCATAACCTCCCGGGCTTCCCATTATGGCGGCAAATACTGGAAAGAAACCATTTAAAGGAGGGAAAATTAATTTTGGTCCACGGTTTTAGAGGTTTTCGTGTGTAGTCCCTTAGCTTCTGCACTAATGTGTGAAGCAATATAGCTCATCTCATGGCAGACAGGCGGCAGAGGCCAGGAAGGGGTGACAAGATACGCCCTGCCAAGGCACCTCTGTGACCCGCTTTCTCTAACTAGACCCCACTTCCTAGATGAACTTATCAGCTAGTCCCCCCATAATCCCATCCCCTCTGTAGTGACACAGCTGAGGCCTGAGCCTTCAGCACATGAACTGCTGGGGCAGACGGCACTCGGCGTTCAAAACGTAACATCTATGAACTGAGTCATCCACTCACGGGGACAGGGCCTGCCATCTCTTAAAGGTCCCACATCCTCCCATCGTTAATATCTCATAATGGGGCTTAAAAGTCTAGAAAGCTGAGTTTTAGAGGAGACAAACCACGGTCAAACCATAGCAATAATTAAAAACGCGTCCCTTCTTCCTCTTCTGTCGTTGTTCTGCTTTTTGATTCGTCCGTTCAATAAACACTTGTCTATCCCATTGACAGGCACATAGAACATGCTGGAAACACAGCCTTCAGATATATCCCTCCCGGCTCTGTGTGACTCGATGCAGCTCGCTCCTGCCTACCCATGCTTTACCCTAGAGCAACACCGCCCGTGTTTTTTTCTAGTTAAAATGAGAGGAATAACAGCTTCTATGACTCTCCCTGTGGAGCTATTCTGAAAATGAGGTAAAATAAAATGATTTGTGAGCTGTTGATGCCAATGTATCACCCATAAAATATGTATGTGATGTTACTGCGCGTTTAGTTCTCATTTTTGACACATCTAACAGAAGAATATAGGTCAAATGAGGAACCTTTAAATTAGGAAATGTTTACAGAGTTGGCCCAGAAGCTAGATGACTTGGTGTCCTAAAAATCTTTGACTAAAGGCCAGAGGTCACCTGGGGGAGTGCCTAGATCAGATTGGCCCATGGCTATGACTGTGGGGGCATTCTATTGGTTGTTAATTGACGTAGGAGAGTCCAGCCCACAGTGGGTGGCACCACCCCTAGGCAGGTGGGCCTGGGCTGTGTAGGAAAGGCAGCTAAGCATAAGTCTTCCTGTGAGCCAGCAAACGGTGTTCCTCCGTGGTCTCTGCTTCACGTTTGTACTTTCAGTGATGCACTGTAACCTGGAAGGGTAACCCAAAACCATCCTCAGAACTTGAGCTTTCTCTTGGTCAACAGAGTCCCTGAGCTGACCGCTGGCTTTTCTCTATACCCTATTTCTGGACTGCTGAGTTAGTGTATTTGTCCATCCCAAACTCCGTTCCAGGCCTGGCCTGAATGTCCCAGGCTGTGTCTTTGGGTATTCTACAGCATGGGCATCAAGCTCCTTGTGAGGGTCCACAACACACCGGTGTCACCACGCTCCTCCTTAGGACTTTCATTCGGGGGCTCTCCCTTCACATTCTCTGAGGCTGTCTCTATGTCAAAGCCCCCTGTCAAGGTGATAGAGCTTTTGTTCAAGTAAACGCAGGAATGCCGCAAGATAAGCTGAGGATAACTGGCTTGCACAGGAAGGCTTGGTGGAACTGGAGGTCCCCAGTCATAGCCCACATTACCTCAGCAAGTGCCATTGCCCTCTTGGAGGACAACGTTCCTGATGGACCTCTGGGAGACTTTACCAATGCTCCTCGCAAAGCTCAATGGCGTTTTCACAGGGGCTGGGGGTGTCAGATCTCGGGGAAGCTCAAGGTTGAGGTTGCCCTGTTGGTCTGCAGCCCCATTTGGTGCTTCTTCCTAGTCAGGGCACAATGTGGCCTCCTCAATCATGGGTGCACCTAGCACTGTCTGTGGAGTCTACAGAGGCTCTGGTCTTCCAGGTGGGACAGTGCACAGCATGCGGCAGACACGCTTTCTCCTCTTCAGGGCTTCGTGGCAGCTACCAGAATCTCCCACTCTTGGAACTCTTTGCAGGGCTCCTGTGGGGTCTCTTGGGTCTCCCTGTTTGTGTTTTTAGGATAAGAATCCTGCTCAGCTTTTTTTTTTTTTTTTATAAGAACCTGTCATCTTCATGCCAGCTAGATGAGAGACTCCAGAGAGGCTGCAGCGGTCAAAACATCAGAATTTGTTTGTAATGCGCTTGGCTTCTTGCCACTGTGGAAGTGAGTGAGTTCAGCACAGGTACTGGGCGTCCTGTTCTTCTGGCGCTGTGGCTTCACCATGGCAACAGTGCTGTCAGGGACCAAAGAGTCCTGGGAGACAACAGATAACTCTGATCCAGAAGCCTTTGCAGGCTTCCAGTACTTCCAAATTCCACAGCCCATTCTGGGAGCAGAAATGGGCGTTCGGCACTGGGAAGTCCCGAAGACCCTACCGGACCCCTTCTCCAGTATAACCAGGTTGTGGCCCCACCCTCAGGACCCTTCCTCATATCTTGTGCAAACATGAAACTGTATATGCAATAACCCACACGAAAATGTTCGTTTTTTTTGTTTGTTTGTTTTTTGGATTTTTTTTTTTTTGGTCTGTGTTGATAATGTTGTTAATAAAAACATCACGAGAATGTAAAAAAAAAAAAAAAGATCTTTTTTTTCTGGTTTTATTGAGACAGGGTTTCTCTGTGTAGCTTTGGAGCCTGTCCTGGATCTCACTCTGTAGAGCAGGCTGGTCTCGAACTCACAGAGATCCACCTGCCTCTGCCTCCCGAGTGCTGAGATTAAAGGCGTGCGCCACCACCGCCCGGCTAAAATGATCATTTTTTAATAATAGCCTGAAAGTAAAAACAGTTGAAATGCCTTTGTCAAGTTGGGGCAATCCAAACAATGGGCACAACACACACCTTCCGGTCCTGTAGGGCTGGGTGCTTGTCATAAATGACAAAGAAAATGTTAGAGCCAAATGACACACTGAATAAAAATTATTTGCAAATTATAGCTTAAAAAGCCAGCTTTACTAACTGACCGAGACATCTAACTGTGAGAAAAAGCAGCAGCATGCCCGGTGCGGAGGCCACTGAGACATCTGGACACATCTGCGCTCTCTGGTGCTAGAACTCCTGGAGAAGTGAGCTCCCTCACCTCAGCCCTCTCACCCTGGGTGGCTTCAGGACTAGACTGGCATCCTGACCCGGAAGGAGGGAGTGTACCCTCCACACTTCCAGGAAGATGGCTATTTCCCAGACCTCCAGCGGGGACTCAGTGATACAATGCTTAAGACTAAGGACACCGCTGGCCAGTTGGTCCTGATATCTGGGCACAAATTAATATCCCCCTCATCTAGCCATTTACGTACCCCAGCAAGGCCCCCTCCTTCCCAAATGAATATACTCTGCAGAGAGTAGCCAGGTGCACTGAACTTAACCTTCACCCCTAACTGCACATAAAAGATAAATGTCACTACAGTGAAACAGTGACCCCCAGCTGCCTGCTATTGGAGAGAGGCGGCTAGCTCTTGCAAAGGGCATATTGGGTTGCGGCTTGCTCAGCCACCAAGCTACAAGTCCTTTTAAAGGAACACAGAGTACGAAAACGTGAACTCTGGTCTTCGGCCTTCTGGTTATTTAGATCTCTGCAAATCAACTCTTAGAACAAAAATATGAATTTCAAGGCGGGTCCTCAAAGTGGCCCCAAGTTTCTAAATAAAGAAAAAAAAAAGTGGCCTGCCCCTGTGGAAGCCTATTCAGACGGTGGTGCTATTTTGTGCTGCTGACATCGAGTCCTGAGACTGTAGCTCCTACAGCCTTTGAAGGACAGGAATGCTTGCCTCTGTGGTGGCCATTCTTCAAGCATAGGCCATGGTTTAATCTCCTTTGCATCGTCAACTCCCAGGATTTCATTCAAACCCTCCTTTTTTTTTTTTTTTTTCAAAATGACAGCAAAAACACAAACTCCCGAGTTTCCAGACATGACAGAAAATGTGTGCGATGGTTCTCAAAATGCTAGGAGGGAACTAAACACCGAACGCCCCGAAAAGACAGAAAGGATGAGACGGAAGGGAACAGACAGCTTCAGTTGAGTGGAAGGGGCCTGTCCCCCAAAACAGAGGCAGCCCCAGTGTCTGACCCATCCAGAGGGTGGAATGGTGGCCCACGAGGGCTTCGACCAGGAGGCACGGTGCTTCCTGGGAGAAGAAAGGAGCCGTGGGTGCTTGGCCTGGGTAGACCACAGAAAGGAGAGCAGCCACACCCACCTGCTCTCCCTCAGCAGTCTGCGCACGCACGCACGCACGCACGCGCGCACACACACACACACACACACACACACACACGCACGCACGTGCACGCGCACACACACACACACACACACACACATGCACACACGCACGCACGCAGTGTTGGTGTGTGTCTTTATCACAGAAAACTCAACAGTTGGCCCCAAACCCAAGTGATATGAGAACATGAGTGGTGGCTGTCCCAGAAACAGCCCAAGAGGTAAAGAATGGAATGCAGAAACAAAAAAAGTGAGCAACAGGGCAAAGGAGAGATGGCCCGGAGGTGAAGAGCAAGTACAGCTCTTGTGTAGGACCTGAGGTCCTATTTCCGTAGCCACAACCACCTGGAACTCCAGCTGCAAGGAATCCAACATCCTCTTCTGACTTCCACGGGCATCTGCACACACACACACACACACACACACACACACACA